TAATTTTCAAACCTGCAATACGATAATATTATTAACCCCCGTCACCAGGCTGTAGTTATTCCCATGACTTTTCAGGTGTTTTAATTAACAAGTTATATCACAAATTATAGCAGTAGGTCTAACAACTGACATAATCTGGAAACAATACATTGAGACATCTGACGCCATTCCTCTTGTGTTGTCAAGAGCACCATGTCTATTGGTGACGGAGTCTGTTGCTACTGTGGATGGAAGCCTTCAACAACACATGAAGGTGATGCTAAATTTAGAATGCAGTTTAGTGTAAATAAAGAGGGAAAGTACTTTTGCATCTAAGTGGATGGAGCCCCTGAATTCTATCCATGGATCTCTTGGCAACTGCAACCTAAAACCCCTAATCATGGCACCCAAGGCCTTTTCTGCATGAGCACACACCACACACACACACATTTGCACACCCCTTCTTTGTGGCTCTTGGCCTTATTCTCTGGCCGCTACGCCTCCTAACACTGGTTTGGATGCATCTCTTGCAGCTGCCCAACTCACCTCACTTTCTGCCATCATGATTTATTCCACTCTGCTAGGCCCACCCACTTCACCTGGTGAACTCTTACCTGCCTTCCAAAATGACTATCCAGGTCAGCCCCTCTTTGAAGTTCCTCTTGATTCTCCCCAGATACAACTGACTTTCCCCCTCAATTTAAGCTTCCTAGCCCCAAATCCTGAGTAGGTTTTACTGATTCTGTTTTCTGGGAAATCAAAGGCCCTCTGGGACAAGACTGAACCCTACTGTGGTGCATCTCCAATGCTTGGCACAGAGCCTGGCATATAGTAGCTGCTCAAAAAAAAGCAAAGTAATGAATGAATAAATAAGTGTGTGAGTGGAAAATATTGAAAACAGTCACCAAAGATACTAGGAAGGGTTGGAATGATATTGTCACCTCTACCTGCAAATAGTTACTGTCACCAGTGACCACTAATTCATTCTTCTTATCTCCAAAGCCTGTAGCTTCAAAAAGAGTGACCAGCATATATTACTGGCTGAAAGGGACAAGTGAGAACAGGTCATCATCTCCAAAAGAGATAACCCTGGCTACAAAGCAAGCCCCTCAGGACAGGACAGGAAGACAAGAAAATGGGCCCAAGAGACTGCCAGGTGCAGCCAGTCACCCAAAACAGGCTCAGCTGTGTCACTCTAAAAATGACCTAGTCTAAGCAATGCCTCAGGGGACCACTGAACTGTTCAGAGTGGGGAACTTTCTTGTAACTCAGTTGTTTTTCCTAGTTGTAGAAATTTTAGGTGCTGGCACACAGAGTCAAAATTCTATAATTCTTTTTTTTTTTAAGACAGACTTGGGCCCTCCCTGGTGGTGCAGCGGGTTAAAGCACAGCACTAAAAAGCCCACCACTTCAGCATGAGTTTGATCCCCACCTGCCCAGAGGTGACCCACATGGCATCACAGACCTCTCCTGACCCACCCGCTGCTCCCCTCAGCAGTGTACTTCATAGATCTGCCAGTTCTGCTCCCCACTCTGTGTGTGGTGAATCCTCTCACTGTCCTTGCACTTCTGGCCTGTACCCCAGTTCTGTATACATAAATAAATAAATAAATAAATAAATAAATCTTTAAAAAAAAAAAAAGAAAGAAAAGAGACCTATATGAAATCTTCAAATACAAATAATTTAGAATCAGTGCTTGAGGTCTGCTGTTAACCTATAAGGACAGGTTTCTCCATCACTTACCTGAATCTCAGAGAGAAGGAAATGCACCTTTGGTGTTGAAAATAACCAAAACCTGTCCAAGAAAATGATCTGACTTCATGTCACTTAGCCAACTTACTCTCATTCTCGAATTCCAAATATTTTATTTATTTATACATGCAAGAACTGGGGTGCAGGCCAGAAGTGCAGGGGGTGAGAGGATACACCAGAGACAGTGGGGAGCAGAACAGGCAGATTGAGGAAGTACACTGCTGAGGGGAGCAGTGGGCATATCAGAGAGGTCTGCCAGGCCATGTGGGTCAGCTGGCTGGCAGGGATTGAAGTCATGTGGAAGGGCTGCAAATAGCTTCAGAGTGCTGTGCTTAAACCAATTGGGCCACAAGGGAGGGCCCCATGTTTCAAATATCTTACATTGAATTTACAAGTTCTATTTTCAACACGTTTTAAAAATTGTGACAAAAAACATGCAACATAGCCTTTTTCTACCTAGCATTATGCCATAACTCATCCAAGTTGTAGCATGAGACAGAATTTCCTTTTTAAAAAACACTGAATAATATCCCCTTGTCTGTATAGACTACTTTTATTTCTTTTCTATTTTAGTCTCATTGCTTTGTGATTTTGTTTTTCCTGGCATAAATCATGAAGGTTGCCTTATCATGTGCGTTGAATTTACCACTCAGAAACCTTCAAATTGAATAAGTAGAGGATTCATAGACATAAAAATTCACTAGCTCTTTCCCCTAGTTCTCAAATGATTAGAAAGAGAGTCAGTTTATGCAGTAACTGATATGCTTTCCTAACACAAGTTCCTTTATAAAGCATTTAATACCGTCTGTCAAGCAATCTGAGGAGAACAAAAAAGAAAATAAAAACTTTCGACTTTGTGCGTTGAGAGCTATTAAAACTTTTTTTTTTAAGGAAACAAGGTTTTCAAATGATTGAGGTATTGAACCACTTTCTGTGATTAATGGCTTTTCATAGGATTTCTTAGAGAACATGGAAATGTCACGGGGGGAGGGGGGGCTGTTTATTCCTCCTTGAAATTCTGAAACAGAACAAAAAGAAATGTTCCCAAACAAATAAAAGGATGTGTCATAGCGTTCTGAAAGGATTATCAGAAGTTCATCCACTAGAGGTATACCCTTCAACTTAAGAAAGCTGAGTTAGAAACAAAGGTGGGTGTGGCTTGTGTGTGTGAGTGTGACCTGAGTTTATAAGCTTGACCTTGGGGAAAAGAACCTGATTGGCTCTGCTGATTACCCAGATAAGGCTGCAAAAAGGTTGTTGGCTTCGAGGTGAAACTCCTCAAAGCTCAGCATTTTTCAAAAGGTAGCACTCTGAAAAGATTTTCGGTCACTAGTGGATAAATAAACATAATAATAAATCCATTGGAATGGTTTTATTTATGCGCAGCTAACAATACACACTCCACCCCCACTGCCGGTTAGCTTTCTTTTTCATCATTCCCACTCAAGTTGTCTAGACGTTCACTGGCTTCAATAGTTTATATTTCTCAAAGGTCCCCCATTGGGCATAGCTCATGATCTCCAAGGAAACTGTTCATCTCAATGTGTGGATGGGGTTAGGGAGGGTGGGGAAGGGCTGAGAAGGGGAAGAGAAGCAGGTTGTATATGAAAGGAGACAGGAAAGGGAGGAGCTGGAGCAGCGAGAATGGAGAGTTTAATAAAGGGGTTTGGAAAGTATGGAAAGGTAATGAGTGGGAAACAGTAGAGGATGAGAGGCAAGAAAGAAAGGGATCAGAAATGGGGAGGTGGGCACAGCAGAAAAAGAGAAAGTAAAAATTATAAAAACTTCGAATGAAAACCAATTCATTGCAAAAAATTCTACAGTGTTTTTGTGAAACAGTGAGACTGAAATGGCAAGAGGCTCTTTATTTTCTTAGGAAGCGAATTCAGACCGGAGGTGGGAGAGGAATGGTAGAGAATTTTCCAAACAAAGAGAGACTGTGGCCTCCCAAACGGCCCCCACCCTGCTCTGGGTGAACTGTTCCTACCGGACTTTCTCCTTGGGGGGGAAAGGGGCCTCTGCACAGGCTGTGGTCTGGAGGGTAGGACTGCAGAGTTTTGGGCGCAGGTCGCACCCAGGTAGGCATTAGGTGGCTGGGAGTAGGTGGGACGTGGTCAGGGGCTAGAGAAAAGGGGTCTGCTTGGGGTGTGTGAGGGGACCAAGCTGCAGAAAGAGTGGTCTCCACAGAAAGCCTACCCAAGACCTTGTCCAAGATAAGCCTGGACCCAAGAGGGTCCTGAGGAGACTTCAGGGGCGCAGAGTCAGGAAACGTGCAGCCTCAAAACTTCCTGTTCTGCTTCCTGGGGACAAAACCAGGCGGCACCGAGTGACCCATCCACAAGCCCACAACCTTCCCATCCTGCATGCCTCTCCCGTCTGCCCCAGCCTAATTTGGAGATACCATAGATAGCACACCCCCACCCTCCCAAGTAAAAACTGCTCAGGCTCTCCGCACCTGAGCGACCCCACCCGCCACACCCTTTCGCCCTTAAGGAGAAAAGAAAGGTGGTCTGCCTCGCCTGCAGCCAGCGACCTGAGAGGGTCTGGAGCATCCCGCGGCGCCGAGCACTACAGACAGTGCTCCTTTCAATTTCTGACTCTCGCTGGTTGATTACAACTTAGCAAACCCACTCAAGTTATTAGAATGCAAGGAAAGGATGGAGGGCACCTGGGATTCTGTCACTAGACCGGTAGCAAGGTGAGGAAAAAGATCCCGGGCGTGTTTTTGACAAATCTATTCACTTTTTTTAAAATTGCACAATCCTCACTGAACGTTTACTGTATAGCCATCCAGATTCCCCCCGTCGGCCCCAGTGTACGTTTGACCGTTTTGGAAAGCGCCAGAGGAAACAGAAGAAGTGAAGGAATTAGTGCCCAAGAAAAGAAGGGCAAAGGGGATACGGAGTGTGTGGGGGTGGGGTGAAGTTTGCAGAGCTTAAGTAGGTTGGGGATATGCAAGACGTAAAGTATTTCCACTAGGGTTGCAGTAACGGAAGGAGGGAAGAGAGGAGTCGCGAACACAGCAGATCTCCACCTTTCCCGGATGCGAGAGTCTGGTGACAGGTGAGAATCGATTGAAAAGGTGTGAAGCCTTAGTGGCCGCTTTGAGCCTCTTTCTAGGACCCTTTTCCCAGGCTTTTGGGAAGGTGCGTGGACTGAAGACTATCAAGCGTCCTTCACAGAAACATCAGTACGTGAAAACTGTATTAGAACAAAAATAACAACAGGAACATCTTCCTGAGCCCAGCCACTAGGTGCACACTCTTTAGTTAGGATACCAGTACTAAGCATAGCTCCATCCAAAACGCAGCTCCTCGGGCAATGCGGCGGGTGCAGCCTCCCCTGGCGGCGGCCCCCGGGATTTACTGAGCGCAGGGCTGGTTTCCCCGCGCACCTCGCGCACCGACTCCCAGGCCCGCGAGGGGCGGGGCCGCAGGGGGCGGTGCTGGAGACGCCCCGCCCCCGAGGGGTCTGGCTCGGGCGGGCAAAGCTGGCCCCGCGCTGATTAAAGAGGCGCGCCGGGGCGGGCGCGGCGCACACTGCTAGTGGAGTGCGGGCGGCCGGCGCACGTGTCTTCCCAGAGTCTGGCCCAGAGTCCCCCTACGTCTTCGCCCCCGCGATCCAGGGCAGCCCTTTAGCCGTGCGGGTGACCGCCCACCCCCGGCCGCGTGAGCTAGTCCCCGCACAGTTCCCCGCGCTCAGTGGGCCAACTTGGAGTAGCAAGTTTGTCGGGGGATCGGCGCCGGGGGGGACGAGGTACTGCGCATGCGGAGCTCCAAATTCAAACAGCTGTTTCCAGAGGCTGGAGGGCGGGTGGACTGGGAGCCTCTGAGGCTAGGGGAGGCTTTCTCCAGGAGGCGGCCGCTCGGGAGCCATGGTGGACCGGGGCCCTCTGCTCACCTCGGCCATAATCTTCTACCTGGCCATCGGGGCGGCGATCTTCGAGGTGCTCGAAGAGCCGCACTGGAAGGAAGCAAAAAATAACTACTATACGCAGAGGACGCATCTGCTCAAAGAGTTCCCGTGCCTGGGCCAGGAGGGCCTGGACAAGATCCTGGAGGTGAGCCGCCGCCGGTACCCCTATAAACACATCCAAACCTAACAGGAGCATTAGGGGTGCTAAAGGGAAGCCCCTTGCAGCTCTCGATGCCCCTTAGGCTCTAAGTGGGGGGGAAGGGGTGTGACAGGATGTCTCACCATGTGTCGGGCTACTGGTATCTGTCGCTCACCCGGGACACAGGAGTCGCCCACGCGCCGATACTTCGGATGCGGGTTTGTTCAGAGAACTCACGTCTTGACCCTCGGATGAACCAGATCCCTCGGTTGGCTCAGTGTGGGTGTGCGGGTACCTCCCTCCTTGGAGGAGGCTGTGGGGTGGATAAAGGCGTTTATCTTTCCTTGGAGACGCTCCCGGAGTTCGGGAGCCAAGCCGGGTGCCACCCCCTCGCGTCTCCACCTCCCAGCTCGCGGGCGGGTGCAGCGCCCTTACAGGCTATTTGGGAATGAGAGCGGCTGAAGCTGCAGGAGCGTCCCCTATTCCTCGTGAGACTTTGCGGAAGGTTAGGGGCTCTTTCGAGACCCAGCGGAACGGGGAGTGGTGGCTGGAATGATGGGGAAGCCCTCAGGCCTTTGAGGAGGCTTACACATTTTGGTGACATCCCCCGAGGGCTTAGAGTTAAACTTTTTGAAAGTAGTTGGTTAGTAAAAGAACAGAACCCAAGGAGGTCCTTTTGGTGGCGAAGGAGCATTTTGCCAGCATCACTTTTGGATCTGCAGAAATCTGCCTTGCCCTGCTTTCAGATATGTGACTTGGGGCATGGTCTTAAGTCTCAGGAAACTGGTTTAAAGCAAATTGAAATGGAGATGATGGGAGTTTGTGTTGGCAGGGAAAGCCTTTTATCGCGTGGTGCAGATTACCCGTTGGATGGCATTGACCTCCCTGGGTGTAACGCCAGGCTAGCCTTCCTGGCTGGAACAGTTTTGGGAGGAGGACTTCTATCTTAGTTTGAGACATCAGCTCTGAGTCTCCATCACCCATGGTGGAAGAAAAAAATAGAAATCCACCCTTCTCCCTCTGCACTAATGCCCTCCCATCAGTGGAACAACCAGGACCAGGGTAGGAGTCAATGACTTGAAGATTAGCATGGATTGTAAAGTAGGGAAGATTGTCTGAGGTATTATAATCTCTGGCGGTGAAAGATGCCAGGAAAGAGCTTCATTGGGGAATTGCTTTTAATCAACAGCAGCCTCCCGGTGCTTTATGGCTGCCTTTCTCTCTTTGTTCCGCCTTGGTTTTCCCATATGTGAAATGGAACAGCCAGCCTTCATCCATCCTTCCTGGCCTGGACAGTTTTTGAAAGCACTGGAGAACAAGAAGGTGGCCTTGCTATAGATAGTCTTCAAATCCATGGCCCTTATAGGTGCCTCTGGCAGCTGGGCAGTTAAAGACATGCAGGCTCAGGGGCCTTGGGAAGGGGGAAATGTAGGTCACAGGTTGGGTGTTGGGCTTAAGAGGGGAAAGTTTGTAGCACTGTAGCTGTTTCCGGATGGGGCTGATGGGATGTGCCCTTGATGGGGAGGATGAATTTTGGAAAGTAGTTGATGGATATAGTTCTTAGTAGCAGACATTCTGGGATGGGTGTGTGTGTGTATGTTGGGGAGGGGGTTCCTTTATAATTTCCCTTGAGGAAACAATTCCTCTGGAGAAAGAGTTGTTTAGTTTGCTCTAGGGCTTTGTTTGGAGGGGGCCAGGGCCAGCAGGGATGCAAAGGAATAGTGCTAGTCTTAAGTGTTTCCCTCTTTGCTGCTCTTTGGGCTGCTGCAGGGGAAGGAAGGAAAGAATTCAAGGCTGAATGTGGGAAAATAAACTTCAAAACATGAGGAGAAGGGAAGGGGGGGTTGGGGTGAGGCTGTGGGTCTATCTGGTTGGTGGTAGCTTTGGAGGCTAACAGCTTTCTGTAGGTGTTTGAGCAAACAAAATGTCAATTTGAAATTCTGATTCCCTTTCCCCCTCTTCCCCCCCCCCAAAAAAAAAGTTTGGGCAGGTATGTCTTAGACAAAGGTTTTGGACATTGGGCCAGTCTGATTAGGAAAGTATTATGGATGGCCCTATACCCATCCTGGCCAAAAACTGAAACTGTCTCCAGTTGGGCAAGTCCCCTCCCTTTGTAGGAAAAACCCAAGAAAATGGACTAGTGGGAGCATTTTGCCAGCATCACTTTTGGATCTGCAGAAATCTGCCTTGCCCTGCTTTCAGATATATGACTTGGGGCATGGTCTTAAGTCTCAGGAAATTGGTTTAAAGTAAATTGAAAACTCAGAAGTCCTCTTTCCCATCTGGCAGCTTGGGCATTCATTTTTGACCTGAGGTGTTCTGTGTTTTATCAGATTTTGAATCACCTTTGTAACCCTAAAGGGGTCCCTCACTAGGGATTCCTGAGGTGGGGGCTAGGACTGGGAAAGGGTTGTTGGGGAGTGGGGGTGCAGCCTGTGAGGAATTTAAAAAAAAAAAACAAAACAGTGGAATTTGACTAGGCTCAAATGCATGAGAAAGGGAGGAGGTGCACCTTTCTTCTGCTTTTTGGAAATAGGCCCTGGATTGTCAGGTGCTTCCTCCCTGTTCCTGCTGTGGTTAAACTGAAGCGGAGGCTGACTTTGAAAGGTCCAGCGTGGTTGCCCTCCTTCCTGAAGAACCCTCTTGAGCCCTTGCTTTCGAGCCTGCTCTTTCAGGTATTGGGTGAATTAAAGGAGAAGCATTCAGGGCCTCCTTGGTGGTGTGGTGGGTTAAGGCCCAGCACTATAAAGCTATTCACAGCCACTGTAGCCATGAGTTCTATCCCTGGCCAGGGAGGTGACCCGCATGGCGCACCAGACCTCTCCTGTCATCCGCTGCTCCTCTCAGCTGTGCATTTGAGTCAACCTGCCTCTTCTGCTCCCCACTCTGTTCTGGTGAATCCTCTCACACACACACCCCTACCTCTGGCCTGTACCCCAGCTCTTGTTTGCATAACTAAGTAAATCTAAAAAAGAGAAGAAAGCAGGACTACATAAAATAAAGTAGAAGCATCAGCATGATAGGTTTGAGGAGTAAAGCCAACATGCCTGCCTCCCTCTCTCTATAGCATTATTATTCCTTAAGGTATTCCTTACAGCTACCTTCAGTATTCAGATAAGGAAATTGGGAGCCCAAGGACCAGACCTCAATAGGACGGGCACAGTTTAGCACAGGAGCCAGGCAAGGCAGCAGTGCCTGCATCCAGAGCCAGGGCCTCATAACACTACACGCCTGCCCCTTGGGCTTGTGAAGCTGCTAAGTGTTGGTATGTTGTGAGCTTAGTGAATTCCCTAGTACTCAGGTCAGCTGGAGAGTTCTATTTTCTGTTTCCCCTAGAACAGACTCTCTCCTATGTTGTGCCTGGGTGACCTGGCACCTCCTATGACTGAAGTAAGCAACAGACCACCCCGCCCCACTTCTTGGAAGCACAACAAAAGCAAAGGTGGAGGGATGGGAGGGATGGGATGAAGAGGACAGACACACACCCCTGCTGGCAGCGAGCATAAACAGGATGGATTTGAGGGTTCACCATGTGCCAACGCTTTGAATCTGTGCCTTCTATCCATTCATAATTTAGTCTCGATGACCACCCCCCTTTATAGAAGCTCCTCAAAGAGACGCTATAACTTGCCTGGGGTCATATAGTGCAGGGTCAGGTTTCACATGAGAGCCTGCTGTCTTCCAAAGCGGTTGGGTCTTAGCAGGCTCGCATTAAACCCCCACTGTGCCAGACACAGGGCTGAGGCCTGGGAGCACAAGATGAATTTGATATGCAGCACTCAGATTGGCTGCTGGAGAGAAAGATGAATTAGGAGGGTTTAGCAAGGGACAGGAAGGGGAAGAGGGAGCTAGCCCGGGGAAGGAGGCTGAAGGCTTTAGGCTGTAGGTCTTGCTGGGGTGCACGAGGGGCCACCTCAGGTCTCCACTGAGGCACCCTATTCCTAACTCTGGGTGTTCCTAGACAGCTCTCATAGCTCTCCAGTTCCCTGAAGCCTTTTGGATTCCCCTCTGGCCTCCTTCCCTCCTAAGCCCCAAACTGGACTGTCCTGCCCCAAGGCTTTCTGGGTGTGTCAGATGCTCCTCTTTTATTTTCTGGACCCTTCTTACTAGACTGCGTATTCCACTCCACCGTAGTGGTAAGGCTAATTCCTGATACTCTTGTTATTAACACCACTCCTCCCAAGATCTGAAAAAACAAAACAAACCATAGATTCAGTGGTAACATTACATCTGACCAAAATGCTTCAAATGGGGTTCACTACTTTAATTTTGGAGAATGGAGGGTTAACACGACAACCTCTTGTTTCAAGCCTTGTTGGAAATTGTGAAGTGCAATGGTCCACTTAACTGCCTTTGTAAGTGAAGGGAGCACAATGGATCTTTTATCCCAGGCGGTGGAGGCCTCTGCTTCATTACTTTAGGCTTGAACTCTCACCACAGCACTGCAGATGTGGAAAGGGGAGAAGTTGAGTTTTGAGAGGAAATGGAAGAGCGATCCCTTCTGAACTGGCTGGTTATTTTTATTTTTATTTTTTTCACTTTTTTTTTCTTATTTTCTGCTTGAAGTTGAAGACAGCCAAAAAAAAAAAAAAGTTCTCAAAATGATAAGTCTTAGTTATCTGCCCTGGTTAGAGTTAACAGTTAAAAGTGGATTTTTTATTGACTCATTTGGAGAGTTTTACTGGAGCCCTTAAGGTCACCGATGGTACCGCGATTCGGAACTGAGGGCAGAAATGAGCAAGTGCTGAAAGGTTCTCGTGGGGGTGGAGGACGCTCTGTAAAGGGGGCAAAGGAGGTGATGATGCTTGCTTGAAGTGTTTTCTTGGGGTCTTGCCCTATTTATAGCTTGGCGTTTAAAAGAAACACAATCCTCTGGTTTTGGATGCCGTGCTTGGCTGACTCTGACCTCAGGCCAAGAGCTTTCATCTTGAACTTGGCTGTTTGCTGTCAGATCGGGCTGAGCCTCTGAACTCTTCTATGTAGTGTGTGTGGGGGGGGAGGGAGGG